CTCGCCCGGAGCCCCCCCCGCCGGAAAGCCCCCCTCGCCCTGCGCCCCAGGTGGGACTGGGGGCACAAACTGGGGGGACTGGGGGCACAAACTGGGAGCACTGGGAGCCCAAACTGGGGGCACAAATTCCGGCCCCAAACCCCCCTCGCCCGGAGCCCCCCCCGCCGGAAAGCCCCCCTCGCCCTGCGCCCCAGGTGGGACTGGGGGCACAAACTGGGGGGACTGGGGGCACAAACTGGGAGCACTGGGAGCCCAAACTGGGGGCACAAATTGGGTGCTGGGGGATGGGAAGCCCAAACTGGAGGTACTGGGACCCCAAACTGGGGGCACTGGGAGCCCAGACTGGGGACACTGGGGGGACTGGGAGGTACTGGGACCCCAAACTGGGGATACTGGGACCCCAAACCGGGAGGTACTGGGACCCCAAACTGGGGGTACTGGGACCCCAAACTGGGAGATACTGGGAGCCCCAAACTGGGATTGAGTGATAGGGATGGGTTTGGGGTCTGGGGGGGTCCCTGATCCCAAATGTGGGATTTGGGGGGGGGGTCCCTGAGCCCAGTTTGGGGTTTTTTTGGGGGTCCCTGACCCCGTGCCCCCCCAGGCACCAGCAGCCAGCTGGGGGTGAGGAGGATTTGGGTTTGGGGGGTCCCTGATCCCATATTTGGGTATTTGGGGGGGGGTCCCTGACCCCATTTTGGGGGTCCCTGACCCCGTGCCCCCCCAGGCACCAGCAGCCAGCTGGGGGTGAGGAGGATTTGGGTTTGGGGGGTCCCTGATCCCATATTTGGGTTTGGGGGGTCCCTGATCCCATATTTGGGTATTTGGGGGGGGTCCCTGGCCCCGTGCCCCCCCAGGCACCAGCAGCCAGCTGGGGGTGGGGATTTCGCGTTTTTGGGGGGGTCCCTGACCCCATTTTGGGGGTCCCTGACCCCGTGCCCCCCAGGCACCAGCAGCCAGCTGGGGGAATTTGGGTTTGGGGGGTCCCTGATCCCCTATTTGGGGTTTTTGGGGGGTCCCTGACCCCAGTTTGGGGGTTTTTTGGGGGGTATCTGATCCAAATCCTAGCAGCCAGCTGGGGGTGGGGATTTGGGTTTGGGGGGTCCCTGACCCCATATTTGGGTATTTGGGGGGGGGTCCCTGACCCCTTTTTGGGGGTCCCTGACCCCTAGAGTTCTTTTGGGAGGATTTAGGGTTGGGTTAGGGGGATTTGGGGTTGTTTTGGGGAATTTTTGGATGTTTTAGAGTTCTTTTGGGAGGATTTAGGGTTGGGTTAGGGGGATTTGGGGTTGTTTTGGGGAATTTTTGGATGTTTTAGAGTTCTTTTGGGAGGATTTAGGGTTGGGTTAGGGGGATTTGGGGTTGTTTTGGGGAATTTTTGGATGTTTTAGAGTTCTTTTGGGAGGATTTAGGGTTGGGTTAGGGGGATTTGGGGTTGTTTTGGGGAATTTTTGGATGTTTTAGAGTTCTTTTGGGAGGATTTAGGGTTGGGTTAGGGGGATTTGGGGTTGTTTTGGGGAATTTTTGGATGTTTTAGAGTTCTTTTGGGAGGATTTAGGGTTGGGTTAGGGGGATTTGGGGTTGTTTTGGGGAATTTTTGGATGTTTTAGAGTTCTTTTGGGAGGATTTAGGGTTGGGTTAGGGGGATTTGGGGTTGTTTTGGGGAATTTTTGGATGTTTTAGAGTTCTTTTGGGAGGATTTAGGGTTGGGTTAGGGGGATTTGGGGTTGTTTTGGGGAATTTTTGGGTGTTTTATGGTTGTTTGGGGGGATTTAGGGTTGTTGAGGGGATTTTAAGGGGTTTTGGTGGATTTTGGCTTGTTTTTGGGGCGTTTTAGGGTGGTTTTGGGGGGATTTTGGAGAGTTTTGGGGTTGTTCTGGGGAATTTTGGGGCGGTTTGGGGGGGATTTAGGGTTGGGTTTGGGGGATTTGGGGTTGTTTTGGGGATTTTTTGGGTGTTTTAGGGTTCTTTTGGGGAGATTTAGGGTTGGGTTTGGGGGTTTTGGGGTTGTTTTGGGGAACATTTGGGTGTTTTATGGTTGTTTGGGGGGATTTAGGGTTGTTGGGGGGATTTTAAGGGGTTTTGGTGGATTTTGGGTTGTTTTTGGGGCGTTTTAGGGTGGTTTTGGGGGGATTTTGGAGAGTTTTGGGGTTGTTCTGGGGAATTTTGGGGCGTTTTGGGGGGGATTTAGGGTTGGGTTTGGGGGATTTGAGGATGTTTTGGGGTTGTTTTGGGGAATTTTTGGGTGTTTTATGGTTGTTTTGGGGGGATTTAGGGTTGGGTTTGGGGAATTTGGCGTTGTTTTGGGGAATTTTTGGGTGTTTTAGGGTGGTTTTGGGGGGATTTAGGGTTGGGTTTGGGGGATTTGGGGTTGTTTTGGGGGGATTTGGGGTTGTTTTGGGGTTATTTCAGGGAATTTTGAGGCGTTTTATGGTTTTTTGGGGGGGATTTAGGGTTGTTGGGGGGATTTTAAGGGGTTTTGGTGAATTTTGGGTTGTTTTCGGGGCATTTTAGGGTTGTTTTGGGGGGATTTAGGGACGGTTTTGGGGGATTTTGGTTTGTTTTGGGGAATTTTGGGGTGGTTTGGGGTTGTTTTGGGGGGATTTGGGGTTTTGGGGGGATTTGGGGTTGCTTTGGGGGTTTAGGGTCATTTTGGGGGTGATTTAGGGTCATTTTTTAGGGGATTAGGGTCATTTTGGGGTGATTTAGGGTCATTTTGGGGCATTTTAGGGTTGTTTTGGGGGGATTTAGGTTGTTTTGGGGGTTTAGGGTCATTTTGGGGGTGATTTAGGGTCATTTTTTAGGGGATTAGGGTCATTTTGGGGTGATTTAGGGTCATTTTGGGGCATTTTAGGGTTGTTTTGGGGGGATTTAGGGACGGTTTTGGGGGATTTTGGTTTGTTTTGGGGAATTTTGGGGTGGTTTGGGGTTGTTTTGGGGGGATTTGGGGTTTTGGGGGGATTTGGGGTTGCTTTGGGGGTTTAGGGTCATTTTGGGGGTGATTTAGGGTCATTTTTTAGGGGATTAGGGTCATTTTGGGGTGATTTAGGGTCATTTTGGGGCATTTTAGGGTTGTTTTGGGGGGATTTAGGTTGTTTTGGGGGTTTAGGGTCATTTTGGGGGGATTTAGAGTCATTTTGAAGTGGTTAAAGATGTTTTTTGGGGGTTTAGAGTATTTTTTTGAGGTGATTTAGGGTCATTTTGGAGTGGTTAAAGATTTTTTTGGGGGTGTTTAGAGTCATTTTGAGGTGATTTAGGGTCGTTTTGGAGTGAT